CGGCGCTGGCGACGGGGAAGTCTGCGCTGCTCCGACCACGCGGAGCCGGAATGCGCCTCGCGCGCGCGGGCATTCGCAGAGCTGCCGCGGAGCCTGGGGCTGGGAGGGCGTGGCGCTGGGGGCACGCTCAGCTGCATCCCCGCTGGTCGGCCTTGGGGCGCGGTGCCGCTGGCGGAGCAGGCTCTGGGCTTGGAGCGGCTGTGGCCAGCGCTGCTGGCAAAGGGAGGATGTGGAGCCCAGGTGGGGTCGCCTCTCTCAGGCTTCGCCCCGTGCTCTCTGCGCCCAGGTTGCGGACCACCAAGGGTGCGGGCGCTGGCACTTTCTACCCTGGTGGCGCTGTGGGCTAGCTGCTGGGCTGCTACCTGCAAGGTAGGCGGGGTATCAAATCCACCAGCCGCTCCAGGCGCGCCAAAGAGGAAGGCTAGCTACTCGCCTAAAGATGGGACAGGGCAAGATATGACAAAATAATGATTTATAAATTATCAACGGCTCATGAGGGAGAGGGGAGCGGGGAGGGAGGGGAAAAATGAGGACCTGATGCCAGGGGCTTAAGTGGAGAGCATATGTTTTGAGGATGATGAGGGCAATGAATGTACAAATGTGCTTTACACAATTGATGTATGTATTGTGATAAGAATTGTAAGAGCCGCTAATAAAACAATAAAATAAATAAATACATGAATTTTAAAAAAAGGGGAAAAAAAGATGGAGGCCCTGGTTAGGGTCTCTATTAGTAAGAATCAACGCCATGGGCGTGGGTTTGGCGCTTTTTGGTTAATGGTGGTTTTTACCAATCACCTTTGGCCCAGTGTTTTTATAGCAAGGGGCTAGGTTCAGATTTGAGCCACACTTGGGAGCTTCCAGCAAGCATCAGGAGAGAATTTTGGCTTTGTTACTTGCCATCTGGCAACTTTATGGTCTCTGAAGTTTGAAGCCTACCAGGGTTTTGATAGTTCTACCAGTAGTTTGGAAATGTGATTGTTTAGCATATTAACTGCGTGTGTGGTGAGGTGAGGCCAAAAAAAGGGCATAGTGTCTAAAAACAAAAACCATTAAAAAAAATTCTAGTAGTCTGTGATCGGCCCTGTTTTGTTTTGTATTCCTTAGTGGTCGCCACTAAAGTGAAATATGGTTTCAGTCCCACCATTGTGAGGAGTTAAACCCCATTCAGATAGGAAGGTGTAAAGTGAATGCTTTGGTGTGTTGGGAGCAGAAAATTAATACAAAACAGCAAAACAAAAAGTCTGCCTTAATAAAAAACTGATTATTAAAGGAATTAATTAATATAAAAGGAATTCGTTGGAATTAAAAAAAATGTGTTGACATACCTTAGTGGAATTGACCAGAGCTTTTCTAGCTCTAATGTAAAAAAAAAATCTTTTGATGTGCAAATTTTTGTCTTAAATTAAAACTTTTTATTCTTTTGTCGTTTTTTTTTTTGCTGATTAACAAATACAGTGAAATCAAACGAGGAAAATAAATTTGCCACCTCAAAAAGATTTCTGCTCTCACAGTTTGGGGGACGCTTGCTCTTCTGCTTTGAATGCTTTTCCCTTGCAGTATTATTTCACAAGCTTTTCTTACATCAATAAATGTGCCTTGGGGGAGGATACTTCCACTACCGTTGCCATTTTTATTATGTGGAAATACCGTAATATGGAAATACCAATTCCTCTTTGTTTGGATAATTATGTAGTTTCCAAAGGTTCTTTTTTCCCTTTTAGTTTAGATCTGTGGTTCTCAACCTTCCTAATGCTGGTGACCCTTTAATACAGTTCCTTATGTTGTGATCCCCCAACTATAAAATTAAATAATTTTATTTAAATTAAATAATTGCTACTTCTCAACTGTAATTTTGCTACTGTTATGAATCAGGCCACCCTGTGAAAGAGTCGTTCGACCCCCAGGTTGAGAACCGCTGGTTTAGCTGCTTAGGTAGAACTGGGAGTGGACAAAGGAGTTGATGTTACTTGCTCTGGTCTTACCTGTGTATCGCCACTTAAGTCTGAATTGGAAATTGCATTGTATAATTATGCTCCGCACACAAACTAATCACTCTCTTCTGCTTTGGTTTAATTGGTTTATTATGATGCAGTATTACTACTATAGATTTATACCTTCTTTTCAGGCCAGTTTAAGCTAGAACAAAGTTCACTTAGAGACCATAGCATGTATAATAAGCAGTTTTTTAATATTTATTAAAGTGGTTTAACAAATTGATATTTTACATCAGATTTGTGATGATCTAATTCACATTTTGTGACATTTGCTTTGAATCTAGTTTGCTTCATTATCAGCATTTACTTATCCCCATATTTCTGCATATCATCATAAAAATTCATAGTACATTTTAGAGCATATGTTTGGGAATTTATGGTCACCACAATGGCCTTCTAATATTACTAACATGTAAAAGTTAAAAGCATATGATAAACCACATGGTAGTATGGGACAGCCAGGTAGCTACATTTTTCAAAGAGAAGAAATTTAGCAAAACTACTGTATAAAATTGAAAGTACTATAAAGAATACTGTTTGTGTCTGGTTTAAATCCACCAAACAATCCATGGGGAAAAGATGAGACTATGCACTCCTGTAAAACTTCACAGCCTCAGAAACCCTGTATGGGGTTGCTATGAGTGGCAGTGGGTTTGGTTTTGGTATGTATGTAGGCATGTGTCTATTTCTTATATATTTAAATCTCAAAGCTTCATATCAAAGTGTTATGTAATGAACTTGTAATGCTTATGGATATAAAGCATTTAATATTTTTCCAGGTTAAAATTTTTTTAAACCATAACTATAGGAAAGTTTTCTCTAGAAACTTTATTTAATGTATTTAGTAGAAACTTTACCTTTGCTTACTCTTAGAAATTCCGGTTATTACCATTGATGGTGACAGTGACGACGATGACATCGACATCGTTGTTGTAGAGGATTCTGACACACAAGATGCTGATGACGAATCTACTGTCGAACCAAATAATCAAGGTAGCAGTTAAAACCTCTTCAACCATTTCAAGTACCATAATATGGTTACATTTCTTCCTCGGAGGAATTTGGCCCCAATGGACCTCATCTCCATGAAATTTCTTAAATATTCCTATAACCTTTACATTAATTAGTTAATATCATGGGCCCGGCTTTCTAATATAGCACAGTGCATGCTTGTGTGTATTTCCCTCCCATTTAAACTTTATCATGTCTTCTTTTTTTGCTCTGTGGGAGGGGTCCTCAGAAACATATAATAATTTCTCCAATGTGTAGAAATTGTTAAATGAAAACCTAATCAGCTGTTTAAACCTTCACTGAAAACACAATAAAATCTTATTTAAAAAAACCCGAAGGGTTGTGGGGAGGAGATGAGCCAGTAGGGTGCAGTGTAGCAACGCAGAAACATACAACTTTCCTCTAGTTCCTAAATGCCCCCCCCCCCATCATGATCCCAATTTTACCTTACAAATTTGGGTAGACCAGAGGATGTACACTGGTACAGATAGGAACTGGAAACACAGGGAATCCAGGACAGGATGATCCCTTCAGGACCAGTGGTGAGAGTTGCGATACCAGGAGGGTAGAGGGAGGGTGGGGTAGAAAGGGGGAACAGATTATAGGGATCTACACATAACCTTCTCCCTGGGGGATGGACAACAGAAAATTGTGTGAAGGGAGAAGTTGGACAGTGTAAGATACGACAAAATAATAATTTATAAATTATCAAGGGTTCATGAAGGAGGGGGGAGCAAGGAGGGAGGGGGAAAAATGAGGAGCTGATGCCAGGGGCTTAAGTGGAGAGCAAATGTTCTGAGAATGATGAGGGCAACAAATGTACAAATGTGCTTTACACAATTAATGTATATATGGATTGTGATGAGATGTATGAGCCCCCAATAAACCGATATAAAAAATTATGATTTGTATTTATGACTAGCAAAGTTGAGCATTTTTTTATGTGCTTGTTGGCCATCTTTGGAAAAATTGACTACCGTATATACTCGAGTATAAGCCGACCCGAATATCAGCCAAGGCACTTAATTATACCACAAAATGGCATTAAAATTGTGCTGAAAAACTTGGCTTATACATGAATGTATATGGTAATCTCATGCTTTGCCCATTTTAAAAACTTGGTCATTTGTCTTTTTGTTACTATGTTTTAAAAGTTCTTGATATATTCTAGATATCGATCTCTTGATTTACAAATATTTTCTTTTATGCGATTAGATGCCTTTCACATTTTGATACTATCCTTTGATGTGCAAAAATTTTAATTTGATGAGGTTCAGTGTACCAATTTTGTTTTTTGCTCTTTATTTTGATGCCATATTTAAGGTCTTGATATTTTACCCCTTGTAGTTATATAATCTGTTGTCAATTTGAGAGGATTGAGAGTGAAGGGGTGGAATTTAGCTTGTCAATCAGGTGGCAGCTTTGTGACCTCATTTGGAGGCACTAAGGAGATAAACAGCTCGCTTGAGGTGGGGCGCAGGCTGACTTGCTGGGATACATTGCAGCTAAAAAGACACATAGAACTATACTAGTGTCCTGAGCCAGAGCAGCCATGTGGAGACCAATGCCAGCACTGAGATGCTTATGATCCACAAGACTCCCCACCCACTGGCCTGTCTTCCTGCATTCAGCATCATTGCATGTGTTTCATGAGCTTGAAGAGGGACTTATAGATTGGTATGTGTTTCATGAGCTTGAAGAGGACTTTATAGATTGGTATCGGACATATGGGCTAATACTGGACTGATGGACTTGATTTGGACTAGACCGGGTGGGATGTTTCCTTAATGTACAATTACTCTTCATATAAAACTATTCTTACACACATGTGAGTCTCCCTGGATTTGTTTCTCTAGTCAACCCGGACTAACACACCCTGCTTTTCTTTTTAGAGTAGTATGGTTTGTTTGAGCTAAGTTTTGTATATGGTGTGAAGTATGGGTCCAATTTAATTTCTTTACATGTGGGAATTGAGTTGACCCAGAAACATTTGTTGAAGAGTATTCCACTCCTTCTCTCCCATTGAATGGACTTTGAATTCTTGTCAAACGTTATTTAGCTAAAGATGTGTAGGGTTACATCTGGACTCTCAAATCTATTCCATTGGTCTATATATCCTATGCTGGAACTACACTGTGCTAACTACGCTGTGCTATAGCTTTATCTTTCCAGATTTTGGTAGATTTTATTGTCTTCCTTTCTAATGGCTCAGGACTAAAACTTCTTACTGATACTTACAGAACCAAACCAAATGGTTATATTGTGAATTAGGTGAAAGTTTTCTATTTAACAATTGAAACCTCCCAATGAGTTGTCTTATTTCCATTAGTTTTTGCCCATCATCTTTATAGTCAAGTTGTGAAATCAGAAATTGAGTCTTCCGTCTTTTTTCTTTTTCAAGAGAGTTTCGAGTATTAAGGGACCCCTTGCAGTTCCATTCCAAATTTCAATTTGAGGATTGGTTTTTTTTCGATTCTGCAAAAAAGGTATTGGAATTTTTTAGGGATTGCATTTTGTCATGTTTTGACAGCTTAACAATATGATTCCATCCCTCACATGAATACTGGGTATTTTCTGACATGATTAGAATAATGATTTCATATACTAGCTCAAAAAAACACAAAGGCTTGAGTTTGTAGAAAGTTGCAAATGATTCTTATTGCATAGTTAATAGTAACAACATAAACTCACTGCCATCAAGTTGATTCTGACTCATAGTGACATAATAGGGTAAGATAGAACTTCCCCTGTGGGTTTCTGAGACTCAACTGTGTTTTAAATTAATAAAATATTTTATTGGGGGCTTTTACAGCTCTTATAACAACCCTTGCATTCATTGTTTCAAGCACACTTATGCATATGCCACCATCATATTTTTCAAAACATTTTCTTTCTACTTGAGCCCTGGGTATCAGCTCTTCTCTTTTGTCCTTCCTCTCCCACCCTCCCACCCTCGTGAACCCTTGATAAATTGTAAGTTATTATTTTTATATCTTATACCATCCACCACTGAAACTTAACTTTTTATGAGAGTAGAAATCTTCATCTTTCTCTCTCGGAAGGACTTCTGGTTCCAAGCTGCTGACTTGGTGGATTGCAGCCCAATGCATAACCACTAAGCCACCAGGGCTCCTAGTAGGTAAAGTTCAGATTGTAATCTACCATATTGAACTCTGTGGCTGATGATGGCGTTAGTTGTTTTGTGTGAGTTCTGATTCATGGCAGCCCATGTTTGCCTAGTAGAATTGTTCCATGGGGTTATATAGACTGGCTTTTAGAAGCCAGGCCTGTCTTCCAGATATTAATCAGACCTTTAACCATTTGTGCCACCCAGAGACTGTATTAAACAAGGAAACATTTTAAAAGTACAATTGTTGAAAAACTGTAGTGCTAGTTCTGTAATACCCAGATTTAACATAATAGAAAATTCATCAACAACAAATAATTTATAGTTCATAAACTGGTATATTAATGTGGGGAAGATGAAAATTAAATGAAGCTGGGCTAAATGCTTCATTCTTGCAAGAAGAAAGCCTGGTGGATACTTAACGTTTTCGAAGTGGGTTAAAGGATTGAATAGCTAATACATGGAAGTATGGAAAAGTTAGAAAAATATTTTAATGCTTTTAAAACTTACTGAAGGGCTGAATATAAAAAGCCTTTTAGAAATCATGAATTAGTAATCAATTTGAATAAATAAAACCAAAACCTTTCATTATATAAAAAACATCTGGCTGAAACCATACCACCAAATGAAAGAAGTATTTCTTTGCACATACACACTGAAATTCAAATCGAGAAATGAACAGTAGAAACAACAATCATTAATTCACAGAACAAGAAATCTTAATAGATAGAAAACAACTGGAAGATGTTCAACTACCTTAGCAGTAAGAGAAATAGAAATTAAAATGAGATACAAACTTTAAACTTTCATCTATCAAATTTTAGTACTTGCAGTGAAATTGGAGGAAAAGCATTGCACTTCTCCAGGAATATGTTAATACAACTTTTTTTTGGATGTGAGGCTTTCTACTCCCTTGAAGAGTTAGTCTTGGAAACGCACAGGTCAGTTCTACCCTGTCCTTATAGGCCTGCCATGAGTCAGAAATGACTTTGCTGGCAGTAACTTTGGTTTAAGCTTCCTTTACAGTACCTATCACAAATCCCCCAAAGTTCATGCTGTGGCCCAGTAATTCTCTGCAGACTTGATGCCATCGAGTTGAATCCATGAACCTATATTGATAGAAAAAATCAAACCAAACCAAACCCTCTGTCACCAAGTTGAGTCCAACTCGCAGAGACTCTCTGAGATACTTTGGCAACTGACACCTTGGGTTTCCTGGACTTAGAAAGATTTATAGGAGCATATATTCTCATCTTTCTCCTTTAAAGTGACTGGTTGGCATTAACTGCTGACCCTGCAATGTGTAACCCTCTATACCACTCGGGCTAAAATAGTGAAAACCTAGAAGCAGTATGAAAATTCAAAACTTAAAAATAACATCATTTATGGACACTTATACTGGAATATTATATCACAGCCATTTAAAATTATTTTTGAAATTATTCATGACATATACTATTGCTCAATATATGTGAAATATGATTCAAATTATATGTACAGAGCAAGAAAAAAGAAGAGGAAGCTACATCAAAAGATGATATTTCATATGGTTTACTAGTGATTTCCTCTATTTAGATTCTGAAATTTTTTTATAGTGAACTTATTTTTAAAGATAAACGTTTTATATAATCCTATTACATACAAAATATGTGCAAATCATACATAAGGAATTTCCAAATTAACATACATATATAAAATATACCCATATAAAGAATTCAAAAGAATTACAAACTAGCATTTGCCATGTCTGCAACCAATTACTACCCCCCTACTAAGACAACTATCTTTACTTCTCCCACCGTAGCTTACTCTTTTGCTTGTATTTGAACTTTATAGAAATTGTGTCATCTCTGTTATCTTGTGTGAGACTTTTATTCAATGTTACGCAGTTATATTCCTGTGTGTAGAAACAGTTTATTTTCATAGCTGTGCAATATTCTTTGATAGGAATTCATCACAATTTAATTATTTGCACTTTGTTTTCGTTTTATAATCAGAAAATAATAAACATTTTAAAAGATAAAATTTGACTGAAGTTACAGCGCAAATTGAAAAGGAATTTAGAACTTGAAACTTGCCCACAGTATTAATCTGCATTTACCTAATGTGAGGATTGATCCTCCCATCGTTTGGTTGGTCCCTTTGGGGCTCATGAGTATCTCCTCTGTAGAATGAGATGGGAAAGAGGAGAGGGCCTGGTACTTGTTTCGCTTTTTCTTGCCTCTCATTACTGCTCAGACTCAGGAGGAATAAGACGAACTTACTCTTTCATGAATGCACCCTTTTCCTGAACTCGGATGCAGGTGTTCATACCTCTCATACAAGATGGTCTGGTAGTGTTGCCGCCAATGGCTTTTTTAGCTCCATAGTTTTAGATTATAAAAACTCAAAACCATAACACTAGCCAACACACGTTTTGGTCCTTCAAGTGTTAGAGTTGTGTCTTGGTATATTTGACCTGCCAGTTCCAAAAATGGCACCAGTTTACTCCTATCAGATCTAATTGTTGAGATAAAGAACATATGGGGGGAAAAAAAGAACATATGCCATATACCACTCTTCGCTCTGCTTGCCCATAAAAAAGCCAGGATATCTTAATGTAGTATTAGCCAGCCTGAGATAGAGGAAGTGCATGCTGGATTTATTTAGCTTGTGGTGAACTAAGTATTTAGGTCAAGTAATACTTAACATGGTGTCCTTTGATCCAAATATACATTTGAACAGTGCAAATTACACGAACTTGGAATTTTCTTCAAGTATCACTTTGCCTTTATTAAAAACTGAATAGCAGGCACTTCCAATTTGTTATCTTAAAAAAAGGAGGGGGCCAGAAATGAAAGTTTCTATATAATAAATAAGGAGCTTTGATGGTCTAGTGGGTTATGTGTTTGACTGCCAACAACAAAGTCAGCTATTTGAGCCCACCAGTCACTCTGCAAGAGAAAGATGGGACTTTCTACTCTCATAAAAATTTACAGCTTCTGGGAACCGATTACATGGAACTGTGTGTGACCTCCTCCCTGGGGGACAGACAACCAAAAAGTGGATGAAGGGAGACGTCGGACAGGGCAAGATATGACAAAATGCCCATTTATAAACTATCAAGGGCTCATGCGGGAGGGGGAAGCGGGGAGGGAGGGGAAAAATGAGGACCTAATGTCGGGGGTTTAAATGGAGAGAAAATGTTTTGAGAAACGATGTACAAATGCGCTTTACACAATTGATGTGTGTATGGATTGGGATAACAGTTGTATGAGCCCCTAATAAAATGTTAAAAAAGAAAAAAAAATTTACAGCTTCACAAACCCACAGGAGAAATTCCACTCTGTCCTAGAAGGTTGCTATGAGTCAGAATCAACTGATTGGTGATGAGTTTTTACAATAAATAGAGATTCAAATATTCTGAAACCCACAATGTTCCCGTCAGATTTCAAACTTCTTTATTAAAATTAAAACCAGTTTTGTTACAAAATGGTACAACTTTTCCCTTAAAAATTAGAATTTTCCTTATAAAGAAGCTTAGAGCCAACCTCACCTCTGAAATACTTAACATGAACTACCCATTGACTTATCTATATTAAAATGTGTTCTGAAATGTTTAATGTATAATTTGAAGAAAAATTTAGATCTTAAAAATATGAAAATTGTTGCGAAGTCTTTCATTTTTGACACTGTTATCCTCACACTTTTCATATATGTGTCTTTTCAATTTTCTTTTTTTAAATTTTTCACTCTTCTCTAAATTTTGTCTGACTTTGCAGGTATCCAACTTGTAGTTTCTATTTATAGCCTCCCATACCCTAATGAAAACTCTGCCGCCATTCTAATGCATAGTGATCCTATAGGACAGAGAACTGCCTCTTTGGGTTTCCAAACTTTTAAATCTTTTTTAAGACTGCAGAGTGACTGGTGGGTTTGAATAATTTACCTTTTTATTGGCAGGCCAGTATGGGTCCATAGATAACTGAAGTCCCTAAATATTGAATTGTTTTTCAAATATGTATTACTTTTTCGTCTTATACTGTCATTTGTGGGTTTGAATTGTTCTCATATTTAAAATTAAGATAATGAATAAATGAGCATAACTTAATAGCTGAAAATATAGTAGAACACCATATCTAAGAAACTAGAGCTGGTGCATCTATCCAGTGCAATATTTTGAACCAGTGTTCCAAATAACCCCAGGAACAGACTTAAAAACAAAGATACCAAGAAAAATAAGGGGGGGGGTGCTGTGAATGAGCCTACATACATAATTCTATAATTTTTCTTACTCTTTTTCACATTTATTGAAGTTTAATGGAAAAATTGAACAAATGAAAAGTTAAGCAATCATAAAATTAGAGCTAAAATGAACCTTAGAGATAACCTCAGCCAGTTTTCACCTGGCAGGTGAAGTGGTGTTTTAAGTAGTTTGCTTAGTCTATGTAGGTGATAGGGGCCAAGTTCCTTACTCCTGCTAAATGGCTTTTCTCAACACGTGCTGCCCCACCATGTAAGCAGCCTTTTTTGAGATCTTTCCCAAAGCATTAAGGAATCTTTCATTCAGTGGTTCCTAGCATTTTCTCTATAGATCACTTATGAAAGAATTTTTGTTTTGTCACTGTAAAATTTAAACAGGGCTCCAGTTTAATTTGAGGTAGCATCCTGAGAAGCATGTCCATATTAAGGTTAAGATCAAGGAGCCCTGGTGTCACTGTGGTTAAGGGCTTGGCTGCAAACAAGAGGTCAGCAGTTTGAACTCCACCACCAGTCATTCTATCAGGGGTGTGGTAGTAGGTTTCTGGAAAGATTTCCAGGCTAGGGAACTCTGTGAGGCAATTCTACTTTGTCCTATAGGATTTCTATGAATCAGTTGATTTTATGGCAATTGGTAAATGAGGAAATGCATGCAGTAACTTTATATGTGTTGATTTTTAGGTAACCAAGGGGCATTGCAAAGGAACCATGAATCAAATTTTGAAACAAATCACCCCGAGTCAGAGAATGAGGAGTTTTGCCCATTGAATCAAAAGAGCCGAGCTACACTAGCAGAAGATTGCATGGTTTGTATATTACAGTGAATTATTTTCTTTATTCTTTTTGTTCTACAATTCTTTTTCTTAACTGAGTTTTAAATGCACAGGTTTTAAGTATGCAGTTCATGAGTTTTGACAAATATGTGTATCGACATCCCTATAAGGCAAACATTTTCACCACTACAGAAAATTCCTTTATGCCTCTTCCCAGTTGAGTCTTCATCATTGGGATATTAGTTTGATTTTTTCTCCATAATCAATTAGCTTTACTTCTTCATACAATTAGAACTATACAGTATGTAATCCCATGTCCAGCTTCTCTTTCCTAGAGTAATGTTTTGGAGATTCTTCTGATTGTTACTATTATCAATATTTTAATCCCATTATTTGCTTAGGTGTATTGTGTGAGTATCCATACATGTTTACTCATTCTTTGATAGTTACTTCCAGTTTTTGAATGTTATAACAAAGCATTATGAATGTGATTATGGAAGTCTCTTTGTGAACATAATGTTGTTAAGTGCCACCAAATCTGTTTCAACTCATAGTGACTATATACACAACAGAACAAAACAGTTCTACACCACCCTCACAATTGTTCTTATGCTTGAGTCCAGTGCTGAAGCCATGGTGTCAATCCATCTCATCAAGGGCCTTCCTCTTTTTTGCTGCCCTTCCACTTTACCAAGCATGATGTCCTTCTCCAGGGACTGGTTTCTTCTGACAACATGTCCAAAGTATGTAAAATGAGGTCTTGCCTCTTGGGAGCACTCTGAGCATACTTATTCCAAGATTGTTCTTTTAGCAGTTCATGGTACTTGGAATATTCTCCAGCACTATAATTCACAATGTGAACATATGCTTACATTTAAATTTGGTAAAAACCCAGGAGTGGAACTACTAGGTCGTGAGATAGGTGAAAGTATATTGTTACTCTTGGGTGATGTCAAGTTGATTTTGACTCATAGCTACCATATGACAGAAGAGATCTGCCCCATAAATTTCTTCTAGGTTGTAATTTTTACAGGAGAAAATTGTCAGGGCATTCTATCTCAGATTGCTGGGTGGGATTGAATCACAAACCTTTCTAACTAGTTTTCCAAAGTAGTTGGACTGTTTTACATTCCCCTCATATTTTTATATGTTTATTGATCTCATATAAGTTAAATAAAGTAGAGTATTAAACCACGAGGGAACTTCAGATGGTTTCTAGAAAATAGAATTAAAAGGTAATACAATTTTATAATTTAACTTAATAGATAACATACTTATTTACTTCTATAACTATAAGATTGTGGTAGTTGTTCATTGCTTTCAGGTTGACTCCAATTCATAGCAACCTTGTGTAAAATAGAATGAAACTGTCCAGTCTTGCACCATCCTCAAAGTTATGTTTGAGCCCATTGTTGTAGCCACTGTGTCAGTCCATCTTGCTGAGGGGTTTCTTTTTTGATGACCCTCTACTAAGCATAATAACCGTTCCCAGGCTTTCCATAAGGCTCTTGTATTAGGCTGGGTTTACTAGATAAACAAATGCAGTGACATTCATATACAGTGAACCCTCGTTTATCGCGGTTAATCGGTTCTAGACCCTACCGTGATAAATGAAATTCCACGAAGTAGGATTCCTTATTTGTAAATCAAATATTTTCGTAGTTAGAGCATAGAGGACATGAAAAAACACCCTTTAGTCACCATTACACTCGTATTACCCAATTTATTAAACGAAAAAGGGAAAATACAGTAAAACATTTTGGACATTACAATGATCATTTATTATTTATTATATTATTTATGGCATCTAGTTTACAGTATTACATATTTCACATACAGTATTATTATACATCTTACAAATACTGTAATCAATGGCATGCAACCTCCACGATTTTCTTGCCATCTTTGATCATATCCAAAAGTTTTACCTTTTCCTGGATGGTGAGCATCTTCCTCTGGCGCTTATTTTTATTGTCAGAAGGCTTAGAAGAAGCAGCTCGGTTAGGAGCCATCATAGGGCTTAGATAAAATTTCTTAAAAATCGCAAACAATTACAGTACACTGTACAAAAGCAAAAATGCATCTGATACGTAGCTCCGATACGTAGCGATGCAGACAGAAGCGTGTACAGTATGAGCCAATCAATGGCAGTAATGACAGAGCATGCGCTGTTACGCAAAAACCGCGATAGAGTGAAGCCGCGGAAGTCGAAGCGCGAAGTGGCGAGGGTTCACTGTATACATGTAAGAAAGAGCTTTATATCAAGGAGTAATTGTATATCAAGAAAATATCCTAGCCTAGTCCAAATCAAGTCTATAAGTCCAATATTCGTCCATAATTCCCTCTTTAGGCTCATGAAACCACATGCAATGATGCAGAATGCAGGAAGATCACAGGCCCAGTGGGTGTAGAGTTGTGTGGATCCATCACAAGATTTGGGCAGGGCTCAGCGTGATTCGTCAACAAGAAGGTGTAGACAGAGAGAGGGAGGGAGGTTTCCAGGACCCTCCTTGAGAAGGTCATGCCCACAAGGAGTTACTATCAGGCTGTGACCTGATTGACAGGCTAGACTCTACCCCTAAACTTTTATGTATCAAATTGGCATGAAGTTACGTAACCACCACAGACATAGATACTAATGCCAACTAAACAGTATAGAAGGAGCCCTGGTGGTGCAGTGGGTTAAATGTTGGGATGCTAATCTCAAGGACAGGTCAAAATCCACCAGTTCTTCTGTAGGAGAAAGATGAGGCAATCTACTTCTGTGAAGATTTACAGCCTCAGAAACCTGATGGGCCAATTGCATCATGCCCCAGAGTGTCTGAGTCAAAATCAACATAGCGGCAGTGGAGTTTTTTAGTAGTATAGGCAAATCTCTCTTAACACCCATAAACTCCAGGGTTTTCAGCTCTGGAGATTAGCTGCATACCAAGAGTCATAGTTTTTTTCTGATTTAATTGTGAGAAAACTAATACACAGCAGTGTACAAGGATAAGATGTTTTGTAACTCAGTCTATTTTAGAATTCAACATTATTTTGAGTATCTAGTAACTTTGCAAAACAAGGCTAATTCAGGTAGATTTTAAGGGGGAATGAGGTACCTTAGGTATAGTTTATTCTCATTAATCTTCAAAATAGCAAACTTTATTAAAGTTAATATATTAATAAAATTCATTGATTTTTTTTTTGGCCATAATCTTTCTTAATTTAAGTAAATATTTTCATTTATTTTGAAACGATCTATATAACTACTTGGAATGTTTACATTAAAGTTCTTTATATAGTCCATAATTAATGCTTAAAGTGTTATCTTAAAAAATGAGGGAACATCAAAAAGTTTGTTGGAAAATGGAATTAAAAGATAACAGAATTTTCTATTAGCTTCTTGAAGCCCCTACATATGACTAGTTACTGTCTATTTTACTCATTTCCATTCTGAAAAAGGATCTAAGATGATTTAGAACTTACTATATTTTTATGCAAATTAAGTGTACACAATACATTTTTGTGCAATCCTCTTTTCATTACAATCTTTTGAACACTGTTATATGTATGTGCACGTTATTTACATGGCTGTGTTAAATATGCAGAAAATAAAGTAATTTATTAAGAAAAAAGGATACTACATGTTTTCTATTTTGTCCACAGAGTGGCACTGTTGGATTATTTAAAAATAATCAAAAGCCAGCTAACATTTGATTCTTTGTTCATGGTTGGGGATGTTTTCTTTTAAAGCCAGATTATTATAATACTAATTTTTGTTGCTGTTGTTTTGTCCCCAAACCATTTTATTAGGAGCTAATCCAGCCATCATACCATTCCATAGTCAATCACATCAATCAGGATTGTAAAATTACTACCGAAATCAGTTTCAAAACATTTTCTTCCTTCTTGAACTCAATGAAAACAGCTTGTCCTTAGCCCTCACTTCCCCAACCATACCCCGCAGGAACTCTTATTCTAGTTGTTGTCTCTATAGGTTCATCAATCCTGGATCTCATAAACAGGAAAGCAGAAACACCTAACACAGAACACATAACAAAGATTCAAGAAGGCTACCCACAATGACAAAATACAACAGAGAAAAACTCCAATATGGAAAAAAAACACACAGAAAATATTAAAAACCAGATGAAGCCCAAAGGGTATCAGTGGAGAGATCAAGTGACAAGGTTTCTCTGAAGTACATAAGGGGGTAGGGTGGATGGAAAAACATTTTTAGTGGATTTAAGTTCATGAAAAGATAATTCTGCAAGTACATTTTTGCAGAGTCACAGTATTTGCAATGGACAAAGATCCGTTATATCACAGTAAGCCTTTTGGAGCTTTTTGACAGTGAAAAGTAAGCCTTGAACTTTTCTTTCATTTCTCCTTTTGGGTTATTAATATGTCTTCCTTAGAGAAGAAACTAATTTTGAAGAAGGTGCAAGTATCATTAATGGATGTACATATTATTACTCATTACCCTATATTCTTACTATCATATGGAATGTGATTTAAGTTTCTTTTTAGCTTTCAATATACTGTGGAATTACTTTGAACTTAAGTTCAAGGAAATATTTCTCCTGAATTTATGTGCTTCCTTTTTTTTAGACAGTGCTTAAGTACATATATGCTCAAGTATAAGGCGAGTTTTTTTCAGCACATTTTTAATGCAGTTTTTGTGGTAAAATTAGGTGCCTCCTGTAGCAGTGAGGAATTACTAAACACGAATGAAAGCTGAACATGATGGTGGGACAAGAGGAAAGTAAAAGGAAATAGAGGAAAGAACCAGGAGGCAAAGGACATTTATAGAGGTCTAAATACAGGCATGTACATTGTATATATATCGATAGGGGAATAGAACTATGTACTCATATCTACATGTTAAGAATTAAGGTTGCAGATGGACACTGGGCCTCGAACTCAGGTACTCCCTCAACACAAGAACACTTTGTTCTAACAATCCAGCATTCTGTGATGCTCACTTTCCTGACACGATTGCTGAAGACAAAATGGGTGCATAAGCAAATGTGGTGAAGAAAGCTGATGAT